TGAGGGGTTTCCTTCGAAAATTATCTCAAGGAACCAAGAAAGCCTATCTCAATCTAACTCAAATTGTTTGAAGCTTTTGAGTTTTTGAATGTTGAAGTAATCGAATTCAGGATGCGTCAGTGAGTGATTCAACAAAAACAACACTATCAACAGCGAATGAACGGCGTCGTGGTTTAGTGGATTCTGGGTTTGTGCCTCCGGAGAACGATGGTCACGGCAGTCCTGAACCTGATCCCGAACGGGTATTGCGGCAATTGAGAGTACCGTCGAATGTGGAATTGTTCTATCGAACGCCAAATCCCTTCAGATACGGATTACGAATGAGGTTGAACGATGAGGGTGGCAAAGGTGTGTCTCATTGCAGTTATGGTCATATTTTAGTGCGGTTCGTTGGGTTCGGAATCGTGAAGGAATTTTGAATTCAACGAGTTCAGATTAGTCTTTGGAATTTCCTCAAAATTATCGTTTTCATAAGAAAAATATTTCAGATTATTTCGAAACACTACCAGTGGATATTATATTGATGATATTCAGTTATCTCAATAAAACCGATCTTGTTATGGCCGCAATGTGCTGCAGACGTTTCCGTGACATTGGGTAAGTCCTATGGTTTGCTGAAGAAATTTTTGAAAGTCTTAGTGTTTAAATTTCTTGTTGACTGTAGTGGTGTTTAAAATAAGTTCTAAGGGATTATTTTTATATGATTGTTGAGTGAGTTCACATTCCTAGAATCCCTAGAAAATGTTTGGGACAAGAATTGTGAACTTCAAAACGATATCTTTTTCATGAAATTGAAATTATCATACGAAATACTATATGCTTAGACACGATCAGAATATTGCAGTTATAATCAGTCGTTATGGGAATTCATGGATCTCGGTCAAAAATTTGTTACGGACACAGAGATACATTCTTTGATGGATCGTGGAGTACGTTATCTGCGTTTAACGTACACAACGGTTCGCTCGTTTCGTTTTTGAGAAAAATATTCTCAAGGTTTTTCCAAAGAGTCCGAAAAGCTTTTGAGAAATCCACAAATATTAAAGCATAAGTTATGAATGAAGGAGATCAGTGAAATTATTTTTCGTGTTGTTTGAAAGAACAGTTTTTTGGAAGTTTCAGTGTATGTTTTCTAGAATTCGAATGTATTCTCATAATCTGTGATTGCTTATTTCAGATAATTGCCAAACAGAACGACAGTGTTAATTCTTCACCTGACAGTCAGCCTACACATTCAAGTCCAACCGAAGAACCTCAGCAACCAAGAGTGTTTCCTAGTAAATTGACACATTTGGACTTATCCGGTTCAGCGATTGAAAGACCTGATATTTTCGCGAGTATTTTGAGGAGATGTACAAAACTTGAGGTTGGAATCGTCCATATGAATTTCAATTTGGATTCCGAATTTTTGATTTATCAAATCTGATTTTTCAATTTTCTACTTCTTTTCGATTTATGAAGAGGAAGAAATTCATTCTGTGCTTTCATAGAATCATTTTTTGCAGGCATTATTTTTAGAAAGGTGGAATTTCTTTTTTACAGATAACTGGAATATTTCTGGTGATCTATAGGTGTGTTCGCAGATAAATAGATTATTTCTTCCAGAGATATATTTGTGATTTTTT